CTACTCTTCCTTAATTAATTTGATCTCTTTTTTTTTTATTTCTCTCTCCTTTTCGCTCCTTCTTTTTGTCTCTCTCTCCTTCTTACCTGTGGATGGATGGACAGGCGGATGGATGATAATGGCTCTAAGGAGCATTCACTGGCGGCCGTAGCTGTGTGCGCGACTGCTCAGCGCGCGCTGACGACGAGCTTCTACAGTCGTTTTGCAACGTGCGTAACGCACGATCAAGAATGCCGACCTCAGCAGCCTATTAACGCGAGCTCGTTCTGAGCATGCGCTCTAAACATCGCGCTTAAATATGGCGCCCACTGAATACCTCCTATACCCTTTGCAATGGGCGGTAGCTTGCGCCACCTAGCCTAAGTGGAACGCGCACGACGCAGTGTCTGCAGACGGTCTCTTCTCTTGTATAATGATGTATTAAGCCGCAGTCACTTTGGCGATACGTCATGCAAAAAAGACAGTCTTTAGAGACACTGCCTGGGGCGTGTTTCTTCCTCGTATGACGGTCACATAGGTCGTACAAAACCGTCTGCAGACATGTTCCAAGCATGAATGAGGCCAACGCCTTTGAACATGCTGCTTAAGACTTGTCCGCAGACACTTCTTTCGTCGCGTCTGCGGCGAACACGCGTGTTTTTCGTAGGATGTATGTACAAGCAGTGTGTGCACACTGCTGCGCGGCCCTTAAAACTCCCCCTCCCGAGTCAAATCTAAACCGGAAGTATATATATCTCTGTCTCGCATATCACCCTTGAACGTCCTGAAGGTATGCGCGACGCTTGGATTATTATCGACACGGTACGGTACGTGTACTTTCGACCGGGACCGGGGGCGCATTGTGCGAGCTTATACGGTCCGTATGCCTTTGGACGCACGATTGTAGAGCGAGTTATATAGATAGCACCAGGTGCGACCGAGTCACGACGACATCGCCGAGTTCGTTTCGAAAGCGTGCGCTTGTCGTTCACGTGGCCTTGAAAACAAAACGCATCCGCTCTCCCCTTGGAAATGGCGGTACATTTAAGTCCGATGGCGAGCCAACGTCATGCGATCCGATAAAGCCAGTCAAGCAGGAAAAAACTGCATCGTCATGGCGCTCACCGCTCATCGTCTGCTATATTACCGGCTGAACCAACCGCGCACACTGACTGAGGCGTGATCCCGCACTCTGTCTCTGTTATCGGATTGATTGGGACATAAATCTAAAATCTAATTATAATATTCGTTATCCTGGAGGCCAAATAAAGACGATTTAAGTGTGTTTGGAAAAGTTTTGAACTCCTCTATAGACCAACACGCGGTTGTGACGTCACACCTCTGCGGTGGCGCTGTTGTCGCCACGGCGCATGCGCAGAAGCTCCACCTCGTGCAAATCTGGTTTCTGCGCTCGCGTATTGCCCACACCTGGTGTGGGCAAACGCGGGCTTGTTTGTAAACAGTGTGTCGGTCTATACTGAGCGTGGCAGAAGCTACAAGGGCGAGCTCAGGGCGTTCAGCGTCCCTGCCAAGCACGCGCGCTCGTGCCGTGCATGCAAGCACTGTTCAGGGCCACATGCTCGCGCTTGTAGCTCGTGGCTTGCACTTGTAGCTAGACTGCACAGCGTCGTTGTGAACTTCAACACTGTAAAGAGAGCCGCTATGCCGTAGCTTTTTCTTGCACTACGAAAGCTACGAATGACGCAGCGCTATTCGATTTGAGCCCCTATTAGGCGTTTGCAAGTACGGGCTCTGGGCACCGCCATCTTCCTGCTGGTGTGTGTAGATCGCCTGATAGTCGAGCATTGCTGAGACGTACCCACGGTTTCCGGACTGGCGCCCAAAGGAAGTGTTTTTCATCCACGGTGGCCAGACTATAGCTCTCGAAGCGCGGAGGCACTGAGCTTGACCTCAACTGTGAAAGGATTCAGCCATTGAGCGTTTCTCATTTAATTACATTAACCTTTTCAAAAATATCAAATCAAAGAGAGGTAAAAAAAGCACATTTATTTTAATATAAAAAACAGGGCGCAGGCGAGCTGGTGTAAGTTTACCATTTTTTAGACCACCTGACACGTCATCGTGTTTCTTCCACCCAGTCTCAGGTGGTCTAAAAATGGTATTTTAATATGTTTGTTCACCAGTTCCCCTGCGCAATCACCCTAATGTCTCGTTTAATGACTGAACCTAATTTTGACAGGTATGGGAAAACGGCAAGCCGAAATCGTATTTAGAAGATGGTATTGCGATGCTCACGAAGAAGGCGCGCGTCCCAGAGGGAGGATGGCATGCATGCTCACGCTTGCACGCCGAAGAACCGTCACGAGAAATTCACGAAAATAGAAGCAGATGCCATTACCGAATGCACATTTCCACTCGGCATATCGTCCTCTTTTCTTATTTTCGTTGTGTTTTGCTTTTCTCCGCCCCATCTGGGTCTCGCCCCAAATGACATCCAGCGTCCCATCTGGAAATTCTAAAAGAGTCCGCCTATTATCGTCGACCTCAATGCACCATTAATAAAAAAAACATTATTTTCGTTCTTTTTTTTTTTTCTTTTTTTATCGTATTGTTCTCAGCTACGGTGCCTGGAGTGCGAATAGACCGATCTCACTAAGCCTTGGGCGCATGCGTAAAGCCGCCATAACTTTAGTTCACAGGAGGCAGACGGCCGTGCACGCGAAGGCTCGTGCCTTCTCGTGCTCTACACGCGAAGAGCTCCAGCGAGGTTGTCGCACGTGCAAAAAGACTGAAGTTCCCTCGATGCATTGCGGTAGCGGCGGCGTAGTCAAACCGGCTGGTGAGATCGGTCTATCCTATACTGGTGCGTTTAGAGTCCTATACGCCTCGCAGGTGGGCTCATTTTAGTCTTCTGCGCATGAGAAAGGAAGTAGTGGTGACGTCAGAACGCCGAGCCCTGATTGGCTGATCGCGACCCCCTATCTGAGCGTCGTCTGCTCCTTTACAACGTCGTCTGCGTCTGTCTTACCTTTCCTGCGACTTTCGGAAGTCGACTTCGCCTTTCAGAGAGGGCAGACAAAATAACTCAAGTGGTACGTTGTTTTTGTCTAACAACTAGCAGAGGCGCATCAAGGAGGGAAGTCAGAGGACTCACAGACGAAATGTCCCGAGGCGCCGAGGTTTGTTTGCTAAGAACCGAGAGTCCCTCCTTTCGTGTGCGGCGAGACTCCTCACTCTTTAACGGCATCGGCGGGTCGGCGCAGTTAACGTCGTCTGCTTTACGTCTGCTAGTCAAAGCGATGGCTGCTTTACCTTTCCTCCGTCTGTCGGAGATCACCGCTTTTTCACCGGCGAGAGTCACCGTTACCTCGGAAAACAAGGAGATGACAAGAGGAAAAGATTGACCTCTTAATCTAAAATTGAGGTCAGCGATCAAAGTATAAGACGGGAAGGGTTCACAAGGGTCGCGCGGGCATGTTCCATTCAGCACGCCAGCCGGTCGTGGGCAGACGGTCGCCGAGTCGG